TTGAATTTGAGTGAATATTTGATTATTAAGATGTACATTATGATTTAGAATTCTAAATATGAATATACATATACATATATTAAAATGTATATTGCATTAAGAACTGAATACCAAATAGTTAACGCTATTTGTTTTCTCAATATCTGAATGTAAAAAAATTGTCTTTAGTTAAAATATAATAAATATAATATTCAAATAAAATACTAAGTTGATCTAATATTTTATCAATGAAATATTTGAAAAAACTTATGTGGAAATTTGTGATGGTAATGACTAACGATGGTGATTATGTGTGTCGATTTGGAATGATATTGACTAGTAATGATGATTGTGGATAGTATCTTATAATATAGTGATTAATAGTCGTGGCTCTACTACGTACACCACACATAAAGTTTAGTGACTTTATTGCGGCAAAAATTAGTTATATGACTTTATAAGTAAAATTTAGTGATAGCAAATTTTCATTAGTTTGATATTTTAGTAGGGACATTTAGTAGGTAAAATTAAGTATGATTGGATTTTTATTAGTTTGATTATTAATAAACTATAATTTAAGTTTTATTAATGCCAAAAAAAGATTTCTTAATTATTGAATAATTTTATTCTTTTGTAATATTTGCAGTGGATGGCTATTGAGGAATACGCAGCTCAGCCTTTTATAAAGAAGCATGAAATGTTCAATAAAATAGCAGAGATTTGCTTAGCAAAAAAAGACAACAAATACAATGGTTTCTCCAAAGTGCTTATGACTTCTGCATTTTCTAATAAGAGAACTTATTTGTACTACAGCCAAAACTAATAGAGACGTAAACATTATTTAAAGTTTATAAATTCTGAATTTGTCATCGCTTGTCTTAATTAGTAATTGGTTTCGTAATTAATTATGTATACTTATTTTTTGAATTCTATATAATAAAAGTTACTGAATTCGTCTAAATTTACGACATATGAGCTTTACGCTAATGTATAATTGATCAAATATTATTCTTTGTTCAAGAGAATCAGATTGAGATTTCATAGCCAATTTACGTTCAAATTCACAAGATTAAATAATGTGAGTATGTGACCACCAGGTTTAATTTAATTACCATTTCTTTGTCTTGTTTAATTTTCTCTATTTGTTATTCTTGTTACAAATGAAGAAGTTCTTCGATAAGTCTAAATTTGGCTTTGCAAAAGAGTCCATTTTTTTTGTTTAAAAATAAATCAATCGTTGCGTATGGCAATAACAAGAATTTGTACTAGGGGTGTTCAAAATTGAACCCTAACTTATAAGTCAATCGCAAAATTAATTTATTGGCTTATTGGTATTGACTTATCAAATAAACGATTGGTGTGAGGGAGGATTATTGAATTTCCTTATCGAATAAACCGTTAACCGTTAAGACTTACCATACTTACACTTTTATCTTAGATATATTAGCCTCGTTTAATATTTTGCCACAATATATTATATATTGTTAGTCCTAAAATCGTAAAGCCAAAAACTGAAAAACCTATATACTTTTCTATTGTATTAACTATTATATTACTACTATTCTATATATTTTTGCAATATAGAAGAATTTTATAATTTAACTGCATTTAAAATAGTGAAAAGAAGTCCTTTTTTTAACATTCATGGAAAAAAAAGTAGAGGTTAGCCGATACACCGTCCAATAACTGTCCGATAAAACCAACCGATATCTTATTGATTGGCTAGTGGATTAGCAAATTTAAAAATCGATATCCTATAGGCCAAACCATTAAGCAAAATTGTATCCACACGATCAGCACCCCTAATCTGTACTGCTAAATTGTTTAATCAATGTTCTAAAAGACGATTTATATGGAGTAGAATGTTTAATTTTGTCATAGCTAAGTGTTATCCTTAGGCACGCAACCTCGCTTGACGAAAGTTCTTTTTCATATTAATTAACAAAGGGGATATCTGCTCAAATTTGCATATTTTAAGGATATATTTGATCTTTTTCCACTTTTTATTTGTTTTCCCACTCGATATCCGAAGCCCACATATATTGGAGCTTCGTTAAATTCAGATCGCACTCTACAGGGCCCATTCGGAGATGACGCTCCCAACATGATTTTCTCCACTTTTTCCACTTATTAATCAACTAACTAAAATTAGGTAATTTGGAGGCTCAAGTTAAATTAAAGACATTTGAACTAACTATATGACATAAAATAGGAACATATATCTAAACATAAACGAAAAAATAGTTTAAAAGTAAAAAGAAACAAGTGTTATAAAAGAAGAATCTAAATTTCATAAAGTGATACGAAGGTCAAGGTCAAAATACATAATTGATTATTTAATTTATCTATGAAACCTCTAATAATATGAGTATATGATTGAGTAATGTCTATGGAGACAAGGACATATACCTTTAGCAAACTACCATGAAATACTAAAACTCATGAATACTAAGCCCCTAGGAACCGAGAGGGGCTTGCCAAAAACAGAGAACATAGAACCTAGCGACGTTGCCTAATTGTGTCTGCGTATCTGAATCTGCACCAATAAAAGATGCAGCACCCCTACAAAGATACGTAAGTATATGTGAAATAGTATTGTATGTTAAATGATAGAATGAAACATGAACACACGTATCAAAGAAAAACAAGAACAACCAACAAAATCATATTCATAACATAGAAGGGTTAAGAGATTGAAACCGTTTATGTTGTCTTAGTATTGAGTCTTTTATCATATTTTAGTTCATTATGAGAATTTAATAGTATAACCGCCGACACAAACCACCATGTGAAGATATGAAGTCTGATTTTGGTCCGATCAGCTAAGCCATTTTATACCTTGTCAGGTGCGAGACATACATTCCCTAACTAGCTCATATACCAGGGACATAATAAAGAGTCGCCCAAACTAACGATACAATCCTTAACCTACGTCAACAAACATAGCTTCAGATATTCGTTGTTTAGACTCATGCCCTCTCGGTTAACCATTTAACTCCCTTAGCAATGTGTTCGTTCATCGATTAGCCTGATGGCTCATGTTCATAAAATTTAAGGATCATAATTCATAACTTGAGTTCATGCCATCATATCATAAAATTTAGAATTCAAGTATCATAACTTGCATTCATGAGAATCATATATCATATCATAATTCATAGTCAAAAAAATATATTGTGGTATCATAAAATTTACATTTGAGATGATTGCATAGTTCATAATCATAAAAGATCATCAAGAAATGATTAAGCTTAATTAGTTTTTAAGATAGATTTTTTTTTTTCATAATCACAAAAATTCTTGTAGAAAGCCTTGTAAGACTCATGGGATGAGAAATATCATAAGAATTGAATATTTTTATGGAGGGTCTTGGAGTTTTATAAAGAATCAAGAAAATTCAAGACATGAGCGTTTTGTTCTAACCCTAAATCGTTCATGCAAGACATTAAAAAACACGGAAATATAATTTGTGGGAAAGAACAAGGTGTTTTCACACGTAGTGGATATCCTTACATACTTTAATTGCTCCAAATACCAAAAAAAAAAAAGAAGATAGAAGTATTGAGGGAAAGTAGTTCTTTCAAGACTATTGAGGGAAAATATTCAAACCAGAGATCAAGATTCTGGAAAGGGGGAACTTCACTCAGACAGTGTCCCTATAGAGATCAAAAATGAAGAAATCAACCTTTTTTGTTGATCTCAATTGGGAAGCCACTTCTAAGGCCAAGTATAATTAGTAATAACAGTGAAAAAAACTCATCAACAGGCAAAAATTGAGAGCTCTTTGCAATTCTAGAACCAACACTTATGAGACTATAACAACGATAAGTGGGACAAGGAGAAAGCAAAAATCAGTTATATAGAAATAATGGCAAAAGTCCCACATTGGTGGTTAATGAGATGGGTGGACTCCTTATAAGGCACGGACAATCCTCCTCTCTTTGAGCTAGCTTTTGGGTGTGAGTTAGACCCAAAACCCTTTATTAATACGAGCAAGATAAATGGTTACCAAAGATTTTAGGCATGCCTACTTGAATGAGAAGATATGATGCTTTTGGAACTATATGGATCATACTCAAATTCTAATAGACAATGAACATCATATCACTCTCAATATGAACAATAATATTGATGCCCTTTGGTGTGTAAGAAGAGATGTTAATGTTATATACTCACACATGTCTATGTCTCACACCCAAAGTTAGATTATAAACCTGGACTCCAATAATTATCATGTGTAGGGTAGGCCCAGTGAAGCCAAAATAGTTTATGGTTCTGATGAATCACAATAATTTTTATTTATTTATTGGGTTTCAGATAGATTATTTATACGTATTAAGTAATTTTCTTTAATATAAATACAGGCTTTGAGACAAAGCTGCCAATATCTCTAAGACTGGCTCCCCCTTTGGTCATGGTTGAAACAATGAGTTTAGTTGTATCTGCAAAACGTGTCCTAGGCCTACTAAATTTCTTTGAAGGATGCCTCATGGTTTCATCTCTAAGATCAAATTTGTGGAAATTAATAGAAATTTATTGTTTTAAGTTTGATGCAATCCCTTCTTCATAATTGTTAGTATTTCACAATTTTTATGACTAATTGCTTATTTATCTGCAAGTTTTGGTGCTTATTCCTTTTTAGAAAAGCTTTTTCCTTTGCCTAGACGTTTCAAGGAAAAATGTGGCTGTGATGCTTGTCGTTTAGGCCCACGAGTGCAATTTGTGCTCATTGCAGTCACCTCTGTCGTTCTTCACATGTTGATGTTGATACTACTTTAATAATAATTTAGTATGAATTGTACAGTAATTTAGATGCTAAATTATTGAGTAATGAATTGATTTAATTGAATATATTCCACTTATAATGTCTTAAAAAAGTAGAACCTGATTTCCCACCCAAAACCTTTTGGGGATGCCAATTCTGTCACAATCAATATACTACATTTGTACATCATTTTATATGTTATATGAAATTTGAGACTAAAACATATATCTTCTCTTCTTTAAGCTATAACTCTCTCATGGAATTCTTAACTGAAGATGAAAGAAAGCATAACACGAATAAGAAGCTTTACGATGCACTGATGAAACAAGAGAACACTGAAGTTTTACGACTCTGTCGAGAACTGGAATCAGGGCCATTGCATATATTAACCGTGCACGATGACACAGTCCTCCATGTGGCTGCCTACTCTAAACAAACAGATTTGGTTCTCTGTTTACTTAAAGAGTTGGAAAAGCGGTTGCCTGAGTTTCCTGTAGATGGACTAAAGCATCGTAATGATATGGGAAATACCATTCTTCATGAAATAGCTACTTTTGACAGAGTTGATTCAGCTGCAAAGATAATATTGGATAGAGAACCTGATTTACTTGGTATGCGCAATAAGAGTGGAGAGACTGCTCTATTTCGTGCTGTTCGTTATGGGAAAACAGTCATGTTTGATTTTCTTGATCAACAAGTGAATCAATTTTTTGATGTTAATGAACGCGAGGCATTTTATTATAAACTTGGTGGAGCAACAATTCTTCATGCTGCTGTACGCTCTGAACACTTTGGTATGTTTTAAAATATTATAAGTTGTAGAGCAACAATTTATGATTGTTTCCTTTGCTAGTGGTAAAATGCTGAGTTCTTTTGTATTGTGTTTTATTTTCTTCCTCTTTTTCTTTTTTGCATCTTACAGGTTTGGCCCTGTCGATTGCTAAAAAGTACGAATATTTGGTAAATGAACGAGATGCAGATGGAATGACTACTCTTCAACTTCTTGCGTGCAACCGGCAAGCATTTGGAAGTGGAGAGAAGTATGGTTATATCAAGAGATCCATTTACACTCGTAAGATACTCGAGATGCTACACTCTGGAATACTTGAACTCCACCAAGTAGTTGTATAAATGAATATAATGATCTAGGCCCAAATAAACATTCCTCCTTCTGTCAATCATAAATATCACTTCTTTTTCTTGATATTAGTGAAAACATTGTTCATTACTTAGGCGTTGTTACTTGAAAAATTGTGTTGGATGTTTGCAGGTCTTTCGACTGAACCTAAGGCTACCGAGAAGGAAGGTAAGTCTCCACACCACCAAGTCATTGTAATCCCACAAGTGGGATCTGAGGAGGGTGGGGTGTACGCAGGTAAAACTCATATACCCTATATAAGAACGTTGGAACATCACCTTCTATTATTCGAATTTTTTATGGAATAACAAGACATTCATGACTGCAGAGGCGGATCTAGGGCGGATTCTATAGGCTCAAATGTACCCCTTGCTTTTCTACTAAAACTATTTATACATATGCAAAAAAAATTAAAACAAAGTGATACATGTAGTAAAACCATGCTCATTCTGGTCCAACTATCTCTAGATCATAGGCACACTGTACTTCTTTCTGTCTATTTGACGTCTGCCAGAAGCAATCCAATCAACTTCACTCATCAATTTTTTTCTGTTTTCTTTTTCCTTCAGATGCTGAAAAATGTTATAGAGTGCCTTTGGTGGAGTCTATGCGTAAGCATAAGCAGAGATATGAATCAGTTCTGAAACTTGCCAAGTTCTTGATAGCAAAGGATACTTCTTGGGAGTGTTCAGAATCTGCATTAAATCAGGTCGAACCTCGATCCCACAAGTATAGACTAATGTCAGATGTTTCAAAAAGCGAAGAAAAAGAGGAACAAGATGGTGTTGCACCAGCAGGACAAGTTGTTACAAAAATTGCTGAGTCACCCTTGATTTTGGCAACCAAATCAGGTTGCACAGAGATTGTAGATGAGATATTGAAAACATATCCCCAAGCTGTGGAGTATGTTGACAGTGAAGGTCGTAACGTTTTGCACGTGGCAATCAAATACCGTCAGATGCAAATTTTCGACATAGTTGAGAAAATGGGAATGCCAATGAGGAGACTCAAGAGAAAAATCACTCATCAGGGAAATTCCATACTTCACATGGTTGGTGTAAAAGAGGACACTGAAATTGCAGATATGAGAAGCCCTGCTTTGCTATTGCAAGAGAATTTGCTCTTGTTTGAGGTAAAACTAAATACTCCCTCCGTTTAAAAAGAAATGACCCCTTTCCTTTTTCGGCAACACTTTAATTTCAGTTTTCCACATGACATGTTTAAGACCACAAATTAGAAGGAATTGTCGTACCTTTGACATAACTTTAGTTTAAGACCACAAGATTCAGAAAGTCTATGTTTATTTTCTAAACTTCGTGCCTAGTCAAACTAAGACACTTCTATTTATGACTAAGTAGTTTTGCTGTTCCTGCAGCGTGTGAAAAGCGTCTGCTCAGCTGATTTTTTCGAAATTATTAATGAAGAAGGCAAGACAGCAGAAGAGTTATTCACTAAAGCAAATGCTACACTACGTTCAGAAGCGAAAGACTGGCTTAAACGCACAGCTGAGAACTGTACAATAGTTGCTGTGCTCATTGCAACAGTGGCTTTTGCCGCAGCCTATACTATTCCAGGTGGTCCAAATCAAAGCACGGGTTATCCCGTCCTCTTGGCCCAACCGTTCTTTGTGATTTTCACTATCGGAGATGTGCTTTCCATTACCTTTGCTTTGACCTCAATGATCACTTTTCTCTCAATTCTCACCTCTTCATTTCTGTTGCATGAATTCAGGCGGTCGCTTCCTCAGAAATTAATTCTAGGAGTTACCCTCTTGATTCTTTCTGTGTCCATGATGATGTTAGCATTTGCATCGACTATAATCTTGATGATTCACTATAAGGAAAGGTGGACAAAAATTGCTTTATCTTCCATGGCATTCCTACCTGTGACCATTTTTGCAGTTTCATATTTTCCTCTGTATGTGTCATTATGGAAAAACTTTAACTACTCGTTAAGGAAATTATCCAGGGCATTCCCTCGATGCAAGATTCTATCAGGAAAGCCTTGCGATGATTCCCCTTTGACAATCTCTTCCAGTCTCCATGAGTCTGGATCTACTAAATTTGGCATTTCCACATCCTACTATTAGTAACTGGTAAAACAGTTGTTCTGTCTGTGTGAGATAAAGTGTCCATTGAAATGTATTCTAGTATTAGCGGCGTGTGCCCATTGAATGTATGTTTGTCTAAGTCCTCTACTATGTGAGACGTTTCAAGTTTATTATCTTGGCAAACTTATTTTGATTTGGCTTTCTGAGAACTTTTAAGGATCTGCAACATTCAGGGCGCGATTATCTGGCCAAGTGCACGATTGTCAATTTGTTGATCTATATATCTATAACTTACATAAAAAGGAAATATTGAATTGTGTAGACAAACGAACAGTTGAGACATGAAATTACCATAGCTCAAATGAAAGGATACATTTCAAGCAAAAAAGTACTTAACCATATATAGTTCAATACAACTTGGCAACAAAAAAGAAATATAATGTTCTTGAAAATAAGAAATATTGACTTTGCAACGAGACGTTAGCTATTTACTAAACGATATGTTCCTCAACAAGAGAGGAATATCTCTATCGTAGTAGAACTTTGAAATATCGATCCTCCTCTTCGATTAACCTTCAAACACAAACAACATAATGGAGAAAAAGAACTAGTATAGCATAAGACCATTCAAAAGCAAAGAGTTTGATAAAAGGCGAAAGAGTTGAAGAACCAGAATAGTAGTTATAAGGTGGTGGTGGAGGTCCATAGTTATTATACTGTGGGCAGCATGGCGTAGTAACAGGCTGAGCTGGTGGACAATTTACATAACCGGTAGGTGGTGGAACGCCATAGCTTTGGTATCCACCACCAGAAGGTGGTGTTGGTGGTGGCGGAGATTGACAAGTATATGGACAAATTGTACAATTTGTACAAGCACTTTGTGTTGGTGGTGATATTGAACCATCACCATAGTTACCATCTTGAGTATTATTGTCACCAAAAACAATTGAGAAAAAGTATAGTAAAAGCAACCAAACCCCTAGAAGAAACTTCACATTTTCTTGAGCCATTCTTGTTTTTCAAGCTACTTTGCTAGAGATCAAGAAAGTAAGTAGTTAAGTAGCAAAAGCTAAAATAATAGAACTTCCTTTTGTAATGTTTGTTTCAAGTGACACATTCAAAAGCCATGCCACATAGCAAGGAAATGTGGCAATTCCAAAGGTGTTGATGATGGTATAAATTTGACATTGTTTGCATGAATATCTAAAACTATTTGGGAAATGCACATCAGCTAATTAAAACATAAGTGAAGTGGAGGGCTACTAGGTCAGCTATTTCATTTGCACATGTCAAATACATCTAATTATAATTTGGAATCATCAATTATATGAATTCAACTTGTCTACAACTTTCTCAAAATGGAATGAAACTTGGCATTACTTTGGAAGTTCCCAATAAAATTGGGTAAAAGTAGAAAGCAAGTGGTTATATAGTATATGGTGAATCTTAGCAACTTAGTTGGTTGGCTATCTGAACTTTCACCTTGTTGGTAGGGATGGGTGTTCAGTATTCAATTTGAGATTCTTAAATTTTGGGTTTGATAATTCGGTAATTGGTAGTTAAAAGTAGATACAAAATACCTATATTTTAAATTCCAATTGGGTAATTTGGTAATCGGTAAATTAAACTTCGGTTTGATATGATATTCGGCAATACCGTATTAAAGTTGTAGCCCATTATATTACGAAGTTAATACTATTTCTTAAATTATTTCTATATTTTAATGTGGAGGCGCGGTATAATAGAAGATCAATAAGTAAGAAGACATCAAGAAAAAATAAATTGATACAACTAAAAGACATGTATTTGGGTTGTTTAAGTTTGTTCTTTAACTTACTCTTTGAACTTATACTAATGAGTACTTGACATATTGATATACTTATGACCTTCATTAAGTAAATAGTTCGGTATTCGGGAAATACCGAATACCAAATGGTACTAGTATCATACCAAACCCAAATTGAATACCATAATTCTAAGATTTTACTCTTGAAAACCATACTGAATATCAAATTACCAAATACCAAATTACCAAAAATTTCAATTCGATTCGGTAATTCAATTTTGATATTTTATGTTCAGCCCTACTTATTGATGAAGGTTCGATTCCCACCTTGTCTCCCCTTCCCCTACACCAATTTGTTAAAAAAGATAGAAAAAAAAGTGGTGACTAGGGGTGTGCATCGGTCGGTTCGGTTCGGTTTTATGTATTATGGTTCGGTTTATCGGTTTTCGGTTTTTAAATATGTTAAACCAATAAGATATTTTTTATCGGTTTTCGGTTTATCGGTTTCGGTCCTTAACAATTCACTTTTTGGTTTAACCAATAAGAAAATACTTATAAAACAGATTTATTACTTTTCTAATAAATTTGATACGAAAACACAATAATGTAACTTTACAAATGCTCATAAAATAGAAATAATAATAATAACAAACATGAAAAGAACTATACAGGTGTAACACAAAGAGAAATTAAGAAGAATAAGGTTCTTACTTTATATTTTAACGTTTTGTATAATGTGAAATTGTGAACTCAAAGTCATTGTGAAGTGTGAATTGAAGGCTAAAGGACAAAGATAGTAACTAGTAAGATATTGAGATTAATATATAATATTTATGTACAAGTAAAAGTAGTAAATTGCTAGTCTTAATGGGTTATCGGTTTACCCAATAACCCAATATTAAAAACCAATACCGAACCGATAACCTAATAATTTTTTTTATAAACCATTAAAACTCCGTTAACCTAATACCCCAATAACAATAAACCAATAACACTTTTATCGATTTGATTTTTGCACACCCCTAATGATGACTGTATATTTCTGGATAGATAAAAATATGAAGGTAAAATAAATGGTGTTAATTATTCATAATTTATTGTATCTATCATCAAGTTGACTAGAAATACTGAATCAATACAAGGGTTTGGCCTTTTAGCAAAATTTGTCTTAGAAAAATGACAAATGGGAGACAGATCGAAATTAGTCCCTTAAATATATTTCCGAATAACTTAGATTATTTTTGTTAGCCAAAAGTTAGTGGGTTATCTTGAGAGGCCAAAAATATTTATATTGGAAAAAAATAATTTTTTTGAAAATTAAGGTATTTGGATAATTATTAAACTACTTTTAAATGGAAATAGAAACATTTTTTTCGTTGTTGGGAAGAAATTAAAAATTTCTGGTTTTTTTAAAAAGCAATAGAAACTACTTGTTTTTAGAAGTACTTTTTAAAAATAGCTTTTCAGAAAAGTTCTTTCGTCAAAATATTGATTTGTGTTTGGCTAATTCATTTGAAAAATACTTTTGATAAACAAATGGTGTTTGACTATTCGTTTTTAAAAACTACTTTTGAGAGTCAAATAACAAAAAAGGGAAAAAATCAATGCACTTTAATATTCATATTATTTTACAGAGATAAATATTTTAAATATCTATTATAAAAATTTTAATTAAATATTTATTGTTATTACATTAAAATATACATATTCAAATTTCAATCAATATTATACACAATTGAATAAAAAATAAATTAAATAACAATATAATATTAACATGATGATTAAATATAATTAAAAATAGGAAAAATGCACAAGTACCCCCTTCAACTATACATGAGTCCTATTCCCCCCCTGAATTATTTTTAAGTATAATAAACACACCCTTAACACAACCTAAAACCTATATAGCCACTCACATGATGGAAGATGTTTTATACTCGCCTTCAAGTCATCATTATGTCAGCGCCACGTCAATAAATGATCAGATCTATAAAAAATAAAATATTCCATGTCATTTGATTCCTTTTCATTATCAACACTCACTCCATAACCACTAAACCCACTTATTTTAACCATTAAAACTCATAGCAATCACCATGAAAATTATAACCCACCACCAAATTTATCCCTTCACTACCATCGGATCCAATATCTACTATCAATTTTAATTTTTCTTTCAATCCAAGAAGCCAAATAAATTTCATAAAACATGGTCCAAAATCTCCATTGAAGAAACTACCTAAATTTTGAACTCTAATTCGAGAAGAATTCAAAATTGGGGTCATTTTTTTCTGATTGAATTTGGGTTAAGATAAAGACTGATTGAAGTGAGAAGGGAAGAGAAGGAGGGAGGGTGTTATTGATGGAGAACTGAAGCGGCATGGAGAGTTGGGTTGGGGTAGGGGTGGAGTGTCATATTGTTGGAGAATTGAAGCGGGGGGGGGGGGGGGGGAGGGGAGGAGTGGGGGTGTGGGTGGGGCAGGGTGAGGGCTGGGGGTAGGGGTGGGGGGGGGGGTATGACATGGATAATTGAGGAGGGGATGGTAATTAAATTATTTATTTATAATTTTTTAAAAAAAATTCTAATTTAAATTATTCTCTTTATATGTTGCCTAAATTAAATTCCTAATATGCAATTTTTTTCTCATTAGCGAATTTCAAGTAATTTATTTGAGTAAAAAAATGAAAAAGAAAAAAAAAATCTCTCGATACTACACAAATTAATGAAAAACACTAAAAAGAATTCTCTAAATATTTTAATATGTTGTGAAAAATGATAAAATTTGACTCTATTTCATAAAAAAAAAAGAAATTTAATTTTTTAAAAATATCAATTTAAGTTTTAAAGTTAATTAACTATCTCTACTAATTAATTATAAAATGTCCATTTAAAAATGAACACGTGTCCATATTAATCAGATTTTAATATCTTTTTTCGTATCTCTCATGCGTCTAAGAGAGTGAACACACTCTCTGTGCCACCTCATCACGAAAGGGTGTGTTTATTACACTTTAAAATAATTTAGGGGGGGTAATAGGTCTCATGTATAGTTAAGGTGTGTCATTGAGATTTCGCGTATACTTATGCATTTTCCCTTAAAAATATCAAGTAAAATAAATTTAAAAATTATTTCACAAATTAAATCACTACATACATACACAACAAAAATAAATAAGTATAAGGGATATTTTGGGAAATATGAATAAACGTCAGAGATATTTTGGTCTTGAGATAAATAATTTTCTATTTCTGCTATTTTTAAGAAGCAGAAACTTTTAGCTCTTTTCCAACAATAGAAAAGTTGTTTTTGCTTTCATTTTGTTGATTTTTTTAATAAAGAAATTAAGAAAATAACAGAGAAAGACTTTGAGAGAAAAAAATAGTGCAGAATTGTCAAAGAGAATTATTTTATTAATAATCCAAAGAAGTACATTTATAGATATAATTTCTAACTAAAAATAGAAAAATATGCTACTAACTTATCAGTAAAATTCAAATACTCCCTCCGTTTCACAAAGAGTGGCCTAGTTTGACTTGACACGGAGTTTAAGAAAATAAAAAAGACTTTTGAATCTTGTGGCCCTAAATTAAAGTTATGTCAAATGTACAAAATTGTCCTTTAATCTTGTGGTCTTAAACATGCCACGTGGAAAATTGAAAGTAAAATATTACCAAAAAAGGAAAGAGGTCATTCTTTTTGAAACAAACTAAAAAGGAAAGGGGGTCATTCTTTTTGAAACGGAGGGAGTAACAATTAAAAGAACTAACTCCTAAATTCAAGTCACATAGGACTCTAATAACTTTTAAAACCCTAAAAGTAACTAATTGTTTTATTTCTGCAATATCCTGAGACATATTCTCAACACTCCTCCTTGTATCAAGAATTGTAGATTGTAGTCTCATCTGAAATTGACCTTGTGAACAAATCTGTCAATTCATCTTGTCTTGCAAGGCTTGTGTGCATCTTTTGTTGGATTAAATGAGAAGCTCTTACCTCTCATTTCAACTTGTAAAATCTCTTGCTTAGTGGAATCAAAGATTCAACAATATTTGTCTCCAAATGATAATTTAAATCTTTTTTCTATTAACTGACCAAAACTAAACAAACTTTTATCAATATCAAGCACATAAAGAACATCTGAAATTATTTTTGTACCTTAATTTGTTTTAATTGCAATAGACCCTTTTTCTTTTGCAGGAATACAATCACCATTTCCAATTCT